GTAGAAGGAAGGTCTATTACTCACAGCCTAGGTCATCTGTGAGGGTATTTTTGACCTTGTATAGGATGCATCCTGTCTAAGCGTTTGATGGCATCACGATGCTGTTGTGGACTCTCTACCTGCATCCAGGGAATCACCTTGGTAGCCATGTTGCTCCAATCTGTCAGTATTGATCACTGTTGCCAGTTGGCAGTAAATTGTGGTTTGTGGGGTGGGGTAGAAAGCACTGCCAGGCTAACACTCTTGCACCCAAAGTTATCTCTAAAGCCCAGAGTCCCAGGCTTTATAATTCTTTTGCAATAACATCAGAGAAACATCTTAAAGGAAAAAAACAGAAAATTAGGCATTTATTTCTTATGAATTTGAAGAAAAACTCAATGATTCCTTAAAAGCCCTTCCCTTCTGTACTTATTCTGAAATAGGACTACTGGATGATTTTTTCTTCCTCTTTTTCCTACCCGTGGCTTTCTTATCATAGGGGTTTTAAAGAATTCCTGGGCTGGGTGGTACTCACCATATAGACCTTGTTTTGGGATTCATAATAGAGAAATCTAACAGAAAAACCTTACATTCTGGCCCTGCAAAAGGGCCAACAAATGAGTTTCTCAAAAAATTGGAATCTTAGCGGGTTTATATTTTTCACTGTAACCTCTTCCTATAAGTTCACAGGCTTGAGGACTGAAGGAAGTCACTGAAAATCAACTGCCGAGTTCCAAAACAGCTAACCTTCCCTTTTGCTTTTCCTCCAGGCCTGTTAAAAGGGTTCAGGGCCCAAATAGTTATATTGGCCTGCCTGAAGGTTTGTGGGAGTGTGTTGGAGGCCCGCCTAGACGCTGATACTGTCTGACTCAGAGGAACTAGTATAAAACAGAGACTCACTGCTGTTGAGTCGATTCTGACTCATAGGGACCCTGTAGGACAGATTAGAACAGCCCCAGAGGGTTTCCAAAGCTGTAATCTTTACGGAAACAGACTGCCACGTCTTTCTCCGGCCGAGCAGCTGGTGGATTCGAACCTCCAACCTTTTTGTTAGCAGCAGAATGCTTAACCACTGCACCACCAGGACTACTTAAAACAGAGGCAATCAAATACAATCTCCAACTTCTTCAGGAAAGACAGTAAAAAAAGACATTGCATATTTATTGAGCTTATGAAAAATATATGGCTTCAGAGGCACAATGTATTTTGTTTCTGTGGATGCACCAAATAGCCTTCTTGGCAATGCTCAGGGAGATTTCAAATAGGCAGAAATCCTCCGATCAGCACAAAATCCAAGCTAGCAATTCTCAAGACAGCATGAAGCTGTTTTCTAGTGTCAGCTACGGTCAGGAGCGTGTGTTGCGGCATTTGGAAGAGGAATTAGGGCAGTTAGCTAATTGCACGCTTGAAAATGACAAGCCACTTGAAAATTCAAAAGTCTGACTCAAATCCAAAAAAGAAATTGGTGGAGCTTTGAACTTCACAGTTGTTATTTTATACTGGATTTCAAGTACTTCCTATTAAACATGGAAAATTTGCTTTTCCCCCTAACCTTCTGCTGAGTATTTTGCTGTTCTTAGCCCATGTTTAGAAGTGTTCGTGATGTAAAAGATGGAGAGAATGGGTTCTATCAGTTATAGTAATTCAATAAACAGCCTTGGTTTGCTTTGTTAAGAATTTTCTGTCAATACTTTCACTAGTGCTTGGGGTGAATTCTGACCTTTCTAACCAGAGGCCGTAAATCAAGAAATAGCCTGCTGGCGGGAGTCTCTGAGGTCTCAGGAATCCTTAAAATTTTATGATAGATCAACTTTGGGTACTTTCCCCACTTTCCCTTTATAGAGATTTTAAGAAAGCAATTCTGGAGAAATTTTCACAAACTGTTCCAGAAGTGAAAAGATAAGAAACCCTGACTTAAAATCACTTCTTCTTAAGAAAAAAGGAGGCATTTATGGTCTTCTGCCCCATGGGAAGGAGAGTCTTATCTCATTATCTTATCTACTAAATAAATCAAAAAACCAAGCCAGTTGCCATGGAGTCGATTTCGACTCATGGCAACCCCATGTGTGTCAGAGTAGAACTGTGCTCCATAGGCTGAGTTTTTGAAAGTAGATTGCCTGACCTTTCTTCTGAGGCACCGTTGGATGGATTCTAACCTCCAACCTTTAGGTTAGCTGCTAAGCATGTTAATCATCTGCAGACCCAGGAACTCCAAACGCTAAATTGTTGTTGTTGCTAGGTGCCGTCCAGTTGGTTCCGACTCATAGTGACCCCATGTACAACAGAACGAAACCCTGCCCTGTCCTGCGCCATTCTCACAGTCATTGTTATGTTTGAGCCCATTGTTGAAGCCACTGTGTCAGTCCATCTCGTTGAGGGTCTTCCTCTTTTTCACTGACTGTACTTCACCAAGCATGATGTCCTTCTCCTCCTGATAACCCTAAATAGAAGGACAAAAAGCAGTGACACCATAAAGATCCCTGGTTGGTTAAAGAGGCCATTGTTTTAACATTTAAAAACAAGCTTTTCTTCCTGGCTGTAATTCCCTCGGTTCAGACCAATGGAAGCTGTAATGGAAAGGTGGGCTGTGTTCCTAAACGAGAGTGTTTCAGAGTCAATGCACATCTAGGGTCTGAGGACTGACTAATTTTCCATCTAAATAGAGACACCCAAATGCAACCACTTGACTATGGAGCGTGCCTTTAATGTTGCATTTGTGCTTTTCATCATTGATTTAGCAAGTTAAATTGTTCAAGTTCTGGAAAAGACTTTTTTGATTTTTAATTTGCTTTGAACAATAGCTGGGAATTCAGGGCTTTTGTCCATTTGCCCGTTTGTCTGTTTGTTTAGGAGGGTCTACGTGCAATCAGCAATACCCCTGGGGTCACATTTCTTCTTCTATGTTTCTCTCTAGGTGAACTAGCTCTTGACTTAGAAAAATTTTTTGCTTCCTGGGGTGCTGGGTGGTAGTGATGAGAATGTGCCCAAACGACAGACGAACCAGCTGGAGAGAATTCTCTTAAGTGAATTCTGTCTCTGAAAGGGGATAGAAGGTAGCAACAAGTAGGAACGCCCTCGCACATACAGAGCAGATTTTCTCCACCTCCGCACTAGTAACCTTTTGGACTGGTTGATGCCTTGTTGTGGGGGACTGTCCTGTGCATTATAAGTGTTTAGCAACATCCCTGGCCTCTCCCTAGTAGATACAAGTAACACCTCCCTACCAGTTGCAATGGCCAAAATGCCCTCAGACATTACTAGATACCCCATTAAAAAAAAAAAAATTGCTGTCAAGATGATTCCAAGACATAGAAACCCTGTAGGACAGAGTAGAACTGCCCCATAGGGTTTCCAAGGCTGAAATCTTTACGGAAGCAGACTGCCACACCTTTCTCCTGCAGAGTGGCTGGTGGGTTCAAACCGCCGACCTTTCGATTAGCGGGCTAGGGCTTAACCACTCTGCCACCAGGGCTCCATAAATATCCCGTAGGGAAGGCAAAATCACCTAAGGTTGAAACCCCCCAAGATAGCCTTATAGAATTCCAAGCTATAGGTACGTGCAAAACTGTAAGCGAGAGATACAAGGTCTATTCATCTCACTCAAATATACCTTCCCATGTCAACCAGACTTTGACAGTTGATCATTTCTCTGTCTAATTCATTCTTATTTTTATCCTCAGTTGAGCTGAAACTTTCTCTCATAGGTTGTCTGGTCACTGAGGTCTCTAGGTCCTAGGTCTGCCCTCAGTTCCAGGCTGAAACTTCTCTCCTCACATCTACCTGTACCCTGTCCCAGGTTCCCTGGCTTCTTCTACCCACAGCATTGCCCGGAACAAACTGGTAGGCCACTTTAAGTTGTCTGGGTTCAACAGCTTCCCCTTTTTTTGTTGTCGTTCTGTTTCATTTCGTTTTGTTTTAAACCACAGTTTCTCAAAGCGTCTCAACTATCTCACTCTCTGATGGTTCTGCATCTTGCCCCCCGCTGTTAGCCCGTGTGGATGGGGCACGGTTCATGTCACACATCCTAGATCTCATGGGCTCAAACTGATCCATTAGCACAAACACCAGCAACGTAATATCAGTCACGTTTTGGTTCCTTCAACCCAAGGCAAAGCTCCTTTCCATTCATGTCTGATTTTATGGCCCAGCGGGCCCAGGAATTTCTAGGTTGCCTTGTAAATCATAGTTTTCAAAATCATCCTTTTCTCCATTCTGTAACTTGGGATTTTTTTCCTCCAAATAAACTGCTTCTTTTCTTTTTTCTTTCTTTTTTTTCCTCCCATTTTTAAAGCCGGGGTGGGTTGAGAATAGGGGTGAGGGGTTGGTCTCTTCATATGGCAGTTTTATGACTGTTGCTTGTAGTTTCAAATGTTATTAAGATAACAGCTGGCTGAAGGAACAGAGGTCACTTGACAGGAGCACGTTACCACATAATATTTCCGAGAAGAATTGCTAAGTCACTGACGGAGCGTGCTTTCTCGTTCATCAGCCAAGATGTTGGAAACAAGCAACAGTACCTTAGAAATTTTACAGATTGATTGCCTCTATCTCAGGCTGGTTAGGTTAGGAATATATAAAAGCAAATAATTCAAGGCAGCCAGAAGCAAGGAGACCCAGGTAGTTGAACATAGCAAAGAGATAAGAAATGTAATTTAGGAAACAACTATCGATTTCTTTGCCAGTGGGGGTGGATTAAAAGCTGCTTTGAGGGAAAGTAGATATGTTATTTTGAAATATAATGGCTGTAGATCAGGAAAGTTAGTTTATGTGTCATTGTTACAGGACCAAAAACAAACTGAACACACACATATCTGTTTTCCCTATTGAAGTACACCCAAAGTTAATTGGAAACATAATTTATAAGCAGAAGAGAGAAGGAAAGTCAAGATGGGAGGCCTACATTTTCAATATATTTTAAAGCTGGTTACATTTAGTCTTCTACAGATTCTGAAATCCTAGTCTAGTGAAAATACAGATGGTTTCTAGATCTGAATGTGATTTTTTTTTTTTCTTTCTTTTAGCTTGAAGAAGAATTCCAAAGAAAGGCCAACGTATCCAGAGCTTATGGTAAGTAGTGTAAGCAGGGTAAACATGTCCAGACTAACAGCTAGTGAAGGCAAAGTAACAGAGACCTAAATTATAACAAATACATTAAAAGAGTTAGTTCACTGAGACATCAGTGACGGGGATTGACCTCAGGAAGGATGAGCTGAGACTCCTGCATTCATACGGTCGTTATTGTTGTAGTCAGCTGCGATCGAGTCAGCCCGTGATCCGCGTCAGCCCCACGCACAATGGAACAAAACGCTGCGCGGTCCTGCACCATCCGCATGATCGGTTACAGATCAGACCATTGTGATCCATAGGGTTCACAGGGGCTGATTTTGGGAATAGAATGCCAGGCCTTTCTTCCTAGTCTTAGTCTGGAAGCTCCACTGAAACCTGTTCAGCATCGTAGCAACATACAAGCCTCTACTCACAGATGGACGGTGGCTGCACGTGAGATGCATCAGCCGGGAACTGAACCCAGGTCTCCCGCATGGAAGGCAAGAATTCTACCACTGAACCACCAATGAACCCTGCATTGATATAACATCCTTCTTTAGTATAACCTAGGACCAGTCACCATTCTCAGCAGTTTTTTTCAGGCTGATAAACCTAATACGTGTTATAGACCAAATTATGTCTATAAAAAGTGCTTTGTATCTTCAAATTTTTAAAGATACCAGGAGTCACAAAATGCCAGTACAAAATGAAGGAAGACAGGATTTAAGACATTTCAATAAGGGAAGAAATTTTAGCACTGTGTGACTGATCAATTTTTGATAAAATATCTAGGATTCATTGGATGAACATTTTTGGTTCTATTTCTGCTTTACTTTTGGTGAGTGGCTAGGGAGGAAAGAATCACTTTGCTTTTTCTGTCTAGACAAAGCCTTATTCCTTTGAATTATACTGCCTCCCCACTCACATTTCAACATTTGCACTGTCAATGAAACAAACAAGCAAATCAAACCCACTGCCATCGAGTTGATTCCGACCCGTAGCGACCCCAGTAGAACTGCCCCGTAGGGTTTCCAAGGCTGTAATCCTTACAGAAGCAGACTGCTGCATCTTTCAATTGTGATAACTGCAATTCTAATTACAATTGATTCTTTAGTTACAGATGGCAAGAACCTAAACTTGGCAACACTGTGCTGTATCTAAGTCTGGGTTAAATGTGGGAGACACGCATCTTTTTGCGGGGTAGAAATAGAACATTTAGACTATTTACTAACTCATAGTAACCCTTCCCTAGATTTGTCTCAATTAACAAGGTTTTAGTTTTAGCAGGGGAAGGGAGGGTTGTGTTCATACACAATTTCAAAATTATAAGAGGAAGCTGGTTTGCTTGTTGTTTGTACGTGCCTTCGAGTCAACTTGGACTCATAGTGACCCCATGTGACACAGTAGAAGTGCCCCCTAGGGCTTTCTAGGCTGTAATCTTCATGGGAGCAGATCGCCAGGTCTGTCTCGCACAGAGCCACTGGTTGAGTTCGAACCACCAACTGCTTAACTGTTGCACCACCAGGGATGCTGGTAGCTTGCTTTCTGGATCACAGTTATTCAGCAGACGTTAAGTGCGGCTCCATCCCCTCCTACCCACAAGCAGTGCGCAATCCTCAAGGCAATCTCAGGGAAGGTGACAGACATGAAACACTACAGATTGGAGATGTCAAGCCAGGAAGGGGTTCTGAAGCTGATTGGGAGGCTGTGTGATTGTCACAGCCAATCACGTGGATTTTCGGTTCTGTTGCTCAAGCTTTGATTTAAGTCTGAACCCTTCTCCAAATTGGATGACCTTGAGATGAGACAAGGCCTTCTTCCTGAGCCTCCATTGTCCCCTTTAAAAAGGCAGCCCTCAGAGGCATTGGTGGTCCAGCGGTAGAATTCTTGCCTTCCATGCGGGACACCCAGTTTAATTCCCAGCCATTGCACCTCACGCATAGCCATCTGTGTTAGTGGGGGCTTGCATGTTGCTGTGATGCTGAACGGCTTTCAGCTTCCAGACTAAGATGGACTAGGAAGAAAGGCCTGGCAATCTACTGCTGCAAATCAGCCAGTGAAAACTCTATGGTCTGTTGTGCAGCCTGTCATGGGGATGGCGCAGGACTGGGCGACATTTTGTTCTGTTGTGCATGGGGCAGCCATGAGTTGGAGGAAGACTTGATGGCAGCTAACAGTAACAACCAGGGTCTTAGCACCCTACTTGTTTTACTCAACTAAGACCACAGTTGAGGGGGAAAAAATGCTTATCTTAGCTTATTACACATTTAGGTTGCATATTTCCACCTGATTTTTTTTTAATAGTTGGCAGAGGACTGGCTACTTTTTTTTTGGTATGATTATGTACCCTTGGAGCAGGTTAAAATTAATTTCACATAATGTACAGTGGACATAGAGTGATTCCTATGGGATCATATGGAGCCTGTAATTTTGTTTTAGGAATCTGAGTGGCGCAAGCAGCTTTGTGCTCGACTACTAACCTAAAGGTTGACGGTTCGAACCCACCCAGCAGTTGTGCGGAAGAAGGGCCTGGTGAACTGCTTCCATAAAGGTTACAGCCAAGAAAACCCTACGAGGCAGTTCTACTTTGTAACACGTGGGGTAACCATGAGTCAAGGGGCCAGCTCAATGGCAGCTAAAAACACAAACAATTCTGTTTTAATGTTGCCTTGTTTTGTCATTAATTTCAGATAAATGGAGCAACATTTCTAAATATTTCTGGCTATTTAAAATGCTAAATGTTTTTCTTTTTTTTTTTCTTCCAAGTGGCCTCTTATTAGAAAGTTCACTGAAACATACTTGAGGAAAAGATGCTGAGTTCTAGCTTAGTATACATTGGCAGCCGTGTTCACTTCTACTAAATTTGTATGTTGAATTCTGCCTTTCCAGAACATTCTAACACTATGGTATTGAATGGCTGATGTTTTACTGTTGTAAGATCGTGTGGATTCTGCCCCCCTCCTGCCTCCCCGTCTTATGGCATGAGGCTTTGTGGTACTGGAGTAGACTTGCCTTTAAGACTGTAACTGCTCTCTGCTTTCCTGTGGAATTGAGGTTTTAAAATGGAAAATCTGAGTCCAAACTCCCTGACTTAGCATTGGGAAAACAGATGCTAAGAGACTATTGTTTATCTTTTAGGAGTTGGTGAAGAGGTGGGAAGGAAAAGTCCATTTTCCAGGTGAAGGACAATATTTATTTACATCTTACAGAAATTTGAAATATTTTTATTCTTAGCTTGGATGGAGAGGTTTATATACTTTAAGATAATCTCATTCTCCTGCTCTCTCAAATTTGCACTGGGAGACACGACTAAGTAGGATTTGTTCTTCTAGAACAGGAGTCAGCCCATTTTTTCTCTGAAGGGCCAGATAGTAAGTATTTTTGACTTTGTGGGCCATGCAGTTTCAGTCACAACCTAACTGAGCTCTGCTCTTGTAGGGTGAAGCGACTGTATTCAGTACCCAGACAGATAAATGTGTGTGTGGTGGTGTTCCAGGAAAACTTTATTTCAAAAGCAGATGGTGGGCTGGATGTGGCCCCTGGGCCATGTTTTGTTGACCTCTGTCCTAGGTGATAGAGCCATGGTGGTGGAGTGGCTAATGCACACTCGGCTGCTAACTGAAAAGCCAGTGGTTCGAACCAGCAGCCTCTCTGCAGAAGAAAGATGTGGCAGTCTATAAAGATTCCATAAAGATCACAGCCTTGGAAACCCTATGGGGCAGTTTTACTCTGTCCTGTAGTTGGAATTGACTCAATAGCAATGGATTTGGTTTGGTTTTTGTGCTAGATGATGCATATACTATTTGCCTTTGAGTCAACTCTGAGTCATGGTGATCCCGTGTGTGCCAGAGTAGAACTGTGTGCCATAGGATTTTCAGTGGTTGATTTTTCAGAAGTAGATCACCAGGCCTCTTTTCCAAGGCACCTATGGTTGGAGTTGAACTTCCAACCTTTCAGTTAGCAGCCAAGTGGGTTAACTGTTTGCAGCAGGAATGGTGCCAAGGTGATTCAAGTGATCGCCCAGTGCGGTGATTATGTTCTTCAAATATCCTGGGGAATCATAGCTTGAATGGCAGTGTTAAACAAGGATGCTGGAAACCATCGGAAATCGTCGTCTTGAGGGATGAGGTGTTGTGCATGGAATATGAAGAGCATGGGTTGTTGTATCTTGCCCCTCTGCTCCTGGCAGATGTTCACAGTTCCATATTCTCTCCATGTACAACCAAAAACAAACATACAAGCAAACCAGTTGCCATCAAGTCAGTTCTGACTCACGGCAACCTCATGTGTGTCAGAGTAGAACTGTGTGCCATAGGGTTTTCAATGGCTGATTGTTCGGAAGTAGATGACCAGGCCTTTCTTCCGAGGCACTTCTGGGTGGACTGGAACTACCAGCCTTTCGGTTAGCAGCAAAGTGCATTCACCATTTGCACCA